CAGCAGAGTCTTACAGCAGTAAGACCACCAAAAATCACGGTACGCAGCCAAACGTCACTCAGCCGCTGTCTGCCTTCCAAACAAATATACCTTAATGTTAAAAAGCTAAGTAACACTTTGTAGTGCTCGCAAATTACCGACGACATAATGCGACGGCAGCGTGTCTTTTGGTAGAAGAAATGTCTACTTTATTTAGTACAGAATATGCATACCAAAAAGTCAGCTTGGCTGGGCAACGTTTGGTAGTCTACATTAAGTCTTCTCGTCACCCATACCGTAAAGCTTGAAAACAAAGGTTTTCAATCAGTGCGTTCTACCTGTTATGGCATACGGAGCCGACACGGGACACTCACGATACGGTTAGTTCACCAGTTGAAGTCGCTCATACGCGAGCTATGGAACGAGCTATACTCGGAGTTACTCTGAAGGACAAAGTAAGGAACGAGGTTATTCGACAGAGAACTAAGATTGTCGACATAGTTGGTAGAATAAGCAAGTTGAAGTGGCAGTGGGCTGGTCATATCTGTCGAAGAACCGATAACCGATGGGGAAGCGAGTTCTTGAGTGGAGACCACGGCTCGGCAAGCGTAGTGTAGAACGCCCTAGGGCCAGATGGAATGACTATTTGCGAAGGGCGCTGGCAGCAGATGGATGCAACGAGCTGAGGACCGGGCGAAATGGCGAGCATTGGGAAAGGTCTATGTCCAGCAGTGGACATAGAGAGTTTTGCTTTAATACAAAGTATATTGAAATACCCTTTTTGCCCTCCATAACCTTTCTACCCGACCTTCCCTATGTACACTCACCTGCATTAACGCAAATTATCAACTTGTTTCCCTGTGTTTATTACACTTACGTAGCACTGTCCTGTGAAACCTGGAACACCGCAAGGCCCCCGTGCAGTGTTTTGTAACTTCATTACAACAAAAATCTTTCCGCTGTTTATAAGGAGAAGAAATTTATTCGTATTTCATTAGAAATCACTTATTTTGAAAAGTGAAATTGTAATGAAATATAATTAAAGGAAGAAATATAATTCTTTAATATCTAATTACAATGTAGTAGCAATAGAGCTCCTTGTGAAAGAGTTCATCCAGAGAAGTACTGTCACATTACCCAAGCAGTAATGTGAGCATTACTGCATTCTGGTTTTAAAAGGTAAGGGTACTGGTGAAGTTACAGACAGATTTATGTCTGACTTGTCAACTTGTCTCAGATTGACTAGCGCAGTGGCAATGCCCTTCAGATCTTTGCGATTTAAAGCAATGAGTGGCACTGTAACTATTATGGACAGACGTGTCGCTTACCACCAGACCCATGACTTGTTCGTTTCGTCTCTTGGTGTCATAAAAAATGTAGATTATATTATGTATCATGATTATATAATGTTATTGACCTCGATCAAATACAAAACACCGAAAAATCCTTTTTGCAGTTGCAAATGCTTTTCTTATATTACAGTGCTTTGGTTTTATACGGTAGAGCAAATGATGACAAATACGAAATAAAAATATGTTTGGACAGTCCATGTATACAAAACGCAGATACGAATAGTATGTACATAAATACTACAAGGTTCGAGTACACCACGACGGTACTCACAGCTGAAAGAAGTTTTAATAACGGCACAAAGGCCGGCTAGTAGTTATTGTCTGCGCCTCATTCCGGCACAAACGGAACTCATTCCGTTGACATTCCCAAAAATGTTTGTGAAACGTTTGTTTGCGTGAGGGCGCTACGAAGCATTCATCACAAGGATTTATACGGATAAATATTTACGAATGGGTGCAATTTAATTTCCAATCAAATAACGCGGAGCCGCCTCTGAGAATTTTAGTCCTACGAGTTATTAAGCCTTACGACGTTTCGGGCACAATCATTTAGCACATAGCTCGATTATTACGCCTAAAGCTATAATTGTAAGTCAATGCCTAAAGCAATGACTCCTTTTACCAACTGCACAGAATCATATTTACGCAATCGTTTTATTCCTCAGAAAAATACTCTTTGAAATGTAAAACAGAGGGTGATTCAAGCGCGAATATTTGTCGAAAAAACATGTTTAAAAGATAAACGCAACAAATAAGGAATAATGCGGCGAGGAGGGTCGAGGTGGAGTGAGCGTTTAATAATAGACGGACTATAAACGCGGCAGTTTGTTTTTATTTTGTTCCTTAGCTCTTTGTGTCCGTTCGTGTTGAACCATTCAGTCAAAATGAGGTCGCTTTGATTGGGAAGGCAGGATTTAAATAAAATTTCCACGACATGACGTTCGTAAAAGCAGCAACACTTTGACGGCCTCCGTGGTCGAGTGGCTTGCACACCGGTTTTCGTGGTGTCGCCATTTCAGAGGTCCCGGGTTCGATCCCCGGCCGGGTCAGTGTAGAAACTAACTTTTCTATATTGTCTCGGGTCCGAGTGTTTGTGGTACCATAGATGTTTCCAATTTCCATAACACAAGTGCTTTAGCTACTTACTTTGGTATAACAGCAACGTATGTGATGTTGTTGTCTAATACTTTATTAATTAAAATGGTCATCGGTTCATTACATTTGCTCATAATGTCGATTGATAATTCTGCCATAACCCTACAATAGGAAATAGGTTTCATAGGAAAACGTGCTTATCGCATGGACTCTGCGCAAGCGACTGAGAGGGAACGATTACAACACCGGCTCGAAATATTCCTGGCCTCGCGTCTTTGTTGCCTCGTCTTAAGAGTCCCTTAAACGATCAAATTATTTGTCAAATTTATCCTTCAAACTTCACGTTTTCTACAAACAATATGTCGCAAACGATCAAATAAATCATCAAACAAGTTTGACGAACTTGCCTGTAGTTCACACTCGATCACATCTTCCTACTTCCATCCTCTAAACTTCCTACATTCGTACTACTATAGTTAATACAATGATTATTTGATTTTTAGTTCGGGAATTCATCATGTATAAAACATGTTTTAATTATCTCGATGTTTCGGACGTATGGCAACATCCATGGTCTCGAAGGGACAGGGACTGAAGAGGTTGGATCCATCGGCCATGCGAGTTTTTCTAACTGGGGTAGCTTGCTCTTCATTATTTATTTGTGCACTAGGGTTGTCACTAGACCGACACACAACACTCACGACATCCGGTGAGTTGTCGGGCGATACTTTATGTCGTTTATATTTGCTGATAATTGGATTCCACGACGATGAAAACTTAAAACAGTCTTGTCGGTTGAAATTACGATGTTTTTTAATTTCAATAGTTCCACGTATGATTCTACTTATATTGATGACGTTCTGTAGAAAGGATCATGAAGCTCAATCCAGTGGTTTGGTCCTGATTCCAGCAAATTAAGGGCTATTGCAGAGTTATTGAGCTGACGGTCCCTAACAGCCACGACATTTTTCCATCCTCTAAGCCACGACATGTTCTTTCACTCTTTCCGCTATGGCGCGTTTTTTCTGCCCCTTATAGGAACTAGTTATTATTAATACAATGAGTCATGTCTCTTTGTAATTTGTGCAATGAGTAAGAATAATAGATAAAGCGTTTCTGACATTAACTCTAGCACTATGGATTAAGAAAAAAAAGAAGTATATGTTGGCATAAAGAATGTTAGAAATTAAGAAAAAACATATTCATGAAAATTTGTTAAAAGAAATATTGCGCTCAGAACCAGACGACTACATGGAATCTAGCAGATGAACGTCTAAACGACAACAAAGTTTGGTTTGACAAACATACATTAAATACAAAGCATACGAAGCATACATTAAAACATGTTTGTCAAACACACCGTCAATCTAGAATTCCATCAAACTCGTACATTATTTGACAAACGCATCAAGCACGACCGCAGACAATCAAAAAGCTTGACAAACACATAAAATTTGACAAATTATTTGATCGTTTAAGGGGAGCTTTACGTCAAGCGTACACGTATGTTGCTCAAGTAATATTAAATAATCCAATTTTTTCAAAAATACGTGTCTTTGTATGATACTTAATCCCTACAAAAAAAAACTATAGGAGGGAATTGAAAAATTACATGTAATACAGGTATTTTTATTTACAACGGCGATGGCATCGTTCCTTAATTAAACTAAAAAATACCGTCTGATTAAAACGTGAACCCGTAAAAAAGTCTAAATGTATCGTTCTATATGCGAGCGTGTTATCCAACAACAACATCTAAGTGTGTAGCTACACCAAAGCGAGAGTAATTCTATAAAGTGGCTGTAGTAAAATAACAAACTTTGTCAATTAATCGATTCAACCGTTCGGTTGTTCTTAACTTGAAGGCCGTTCGGATTACGAGTTGCAAAGACAGGTTGCAGGCCAAGTTTAGTATCCCAAAGAATCATAAAACTATAGGTACTAAAACGAAACAGTTTTCAAGGCATTACTGAATTTTATTTACAAATGGTGGGTAAGCATTTACATTTATTTACAATTATAACTACAACTTAAATATTGGATACAACATAAAGAAATACATTATTATAATCTACACACATCTCTAGCTAATGGTAGCTAAAGGTACGTCAGGCTGAGTGAAAACTTTCATAGATTTCTCACAGATGGCACTACGGCAAAAAAGTCGTTAAAAAACAAATACGAAGATTTGCAACAAGCACATAGAAAAATTCGTAAGGTCTTCTGGTTCGTCCGGTAGCCCAGTTGGAAGAGCGTCAGCCACGGTATAGTGAAGCGCTGGGTCGAGTCCAGCCGGATCAAATGAATTGTGCTTTGTTCGATCTTAATAAAAAATAATTGGATGTCATAGGCTACCACAAAACATCGTGATATTTAATAAAGTTAATGTTACAACTATTTATATACATAAATAGTAACCTGCAAATTACTATTATATAGTTAAAACCGCATCCTATGTTATATTCAACGACAACAATTATAAACGTACAAGATAAAGAAAATATGTAACAATGTTTATAAGTAAAAGAATCACACAACCTATAAACCATCAATATTTGAATCTCGTATATCGTACCAGGATCTATAGATATCGGGGCTCCACATCATAGAACGCAGTCTCCATAGAAACTGCGTAGCTGAATTTCTACAGGATCGTGTTTTAGCTAATGTACCGGTACGTAAAAACTATCAAGAGCTCGATAGAAAGCAGCCATAAAACTAAGACAGTTCTATATCAAAAACCATCCAAATTTATTTCATAAATCATTTAACCACAAGAACGTCAAAACGCTGCACGGTTACAACAACACAAGTACTTTCGACGTGAATGCTTCGGTCAATCATTATGTATCTTCATTGGATCTGTGAACTGAGCCGTCAATATGTAAAACATAGCAGGCGCTGGCACCAAAGACAGATACCAAAGCTCCTTGAAACCGGTGAGGGAAATTATGCCGTAGGCATGTATAAGCCAGTGTCCAAGTAGTATTATTAGGTTCCTCGTGTTGGTTATTGAAGACAGAAGCAAAGCTGGTGCCGACTGATCGATCTTGATTGAGAAGTGTGACGCTGAAGTCATCATTGATATTATTATTATTATATAGGGGAAGGAGCAATCTGAAAAGAAATTTCAATCAATTATCGTCATTATCAAAACACTAGAGCCCCCACAAACTACAGACTTCCTAATTAAGTCCGGTTGCTAGCGCGCACACTGTGCCAACTGAAGTCTGATTGCTTTGAATAATTTTGCGTGTCGGTAAGCTGCTCTTAAAGATAGCTATTGCGTAATGAAAATAATAATTGTCCAAATATGTTGTTATTGTTGCGTTTAAACAACAAAGACCTCAAAAGTTTGCTTATCGTTTTTGAGGATCCCCTCATCAGATCCTTACTTCTTGGTGACAATAGGACTGTTACGGACTCTTGATTAAGGACTATCCCACACATCAGTGCCGTGGCCGGGACGTGGACGGGGCGTGCTAGTTTGTATGAACTGCGGGCCCGTCCCGGCGTCGGCCCGGACACGGACATGTGTGAACGAGTTCATACAAAATATGCGTAACGATATTTGTTTAAGCCCCTGACAGAGCACGGCCCGTCCACGTTCCGGATATGTGTGGATAAACCTTTATACTCCGTAAATGTACAAAACATTTTCTTATAGTGACGTTGTTATAGTGACGGTGATTTGTTGATTACATATATCGTGTCAAATGAAAAGTCGACTTCTAGTTGCGGAAAATATTTTTTTTAATACAGTTGCTCAAAACGTGGTATTTTTCGTACTACTTACAAATCGTGCCAAAAGCATTATCGATGGCCAAAAGTTGGATTTTTCGCACTAGGCTTTTTATTTTTCCATTTTTTGTTTAATTGACTGTTGTTTCAAGTTTTAAACATAGAACTAAAGAGTTTGTATATTTATTTAATATCTATGTGCTTTATGACGTAAGTCATTCGTCATTAAAACTTATATTTACTTACAAACATCTTATTTGTTTAAATTGCATAGGTGTTTTATAAAACAACGGATTACATTTAAAAATACCAAAATATTTTCCATAAAGATGGCTGATGAGTATTAACAATGACCGGAGGTGAGTAATACGCGAGACCGCTGCGCGCCGCGCCACTAAAATAGTAATTTTAATGTGGCTGAATACTGGCAACAGTTGCCATTGTACTCTGAATTTTTATCAAAGAAGTAAAATGAGCTTTTTTTAAATACTGTTTTATTTTACTTTCAATGTAGTCTTTTCGCAAATGTATCAAAAAAACGTCGTTTGATACACGTGCGGATTTGTCATTTCCACTTTCCGCACTTGTATCAAAAATAACTATTTAAAATTTGTGATAGCCGGAACGAACCGGGAACAGCATCGTTGGCATCAGGGACCACCTCGAGAGTATACACATTCAAACAAATTCTAGACAATTGAAACAATTTGTAGCAATTTGATAAATTTACAAAGAAAGTTTACATTATTAATATTTAAAATGTAACAAAGGCAAGTTATGATGTAGGAATACAAAGCTATCTGCACGTTCAGGTAATAGTCTGTTCCTTTTTCTTCATACACATTACCCGCATCGGAAAATAACCGCTCGCTATACACAGTGCTTGCAGGTGCACATAAAAACACTCGTGCTAACTGTGCCAGTTTTGGATATCTTGTTTTAAGCTCTGCCCACCATTGGAAAAGACTCTGCTCTCGCGACAATAAATTTTCATTGACATGTACCGACAATTCTAGAGCAATGGGAATTTTAGGATCATCGCGTTCCGGTTCTGATGAACCGAGTAATATTCGGTACTCGGCGCATCTCTATAGTAATAATATATATAATAATAATAATTCTTTATTGACAGGTATATACCCATGTTAAATACAAATTACAATTATATATAAAAACAAAAGCAAATGCAATAAAATAATTGTCATACAATAAACATAATATTATATCATATTATAAGTCATTTCTTATTTCCATCACGATACACGGAAATCAAGTGTTTAAAAAAGGAATTGTGCACGTGCTCACATAGAGTACGGTGAATCCTGTTGCCAGACGCACGGAGACGGCTCCAAAAGCTGGCTACGCGAGACCTTATTATTGCGAAAAAATCAGGAACTCCAGACTCGGCGAATATACTCGGTGCGCCGCAGTACCTCGGCTGGTTCATTAGAATGCGATATGCATCATTATATTGGACTCTAATGGTGCTCATCGCGCGTTTCGAAAACCTACTCCAGAGTTGACATGTATAGAAACATAAACAACGTCACTCTGACATCACTACTCGCGAACTGCTCGCGAGCATGTTGCACCGAACGGCTAGAACCCTGCGCTCTCGTTCTATGTCGTCATAATCAACTAGACTCTCCGTTAGCACGTGCCCAAGGTATTTGAATTCATCCACCCTCTCCACTTGCGCACCATGTAAAAACACGGACGGAACGTTCGCCGAACCCCTTCTGGCTTTAAAAACCATCAGTTACGTTTTCTGGACAATATATTTTAAGCCGTAATTATGAGCATACTGCTCACACAGTGCCAATAGCTTTCGCAGACCATTCGCAGATCGAAGGGCTGAGGAGCAAAATATCATCGTCATAGCTCAAGTTATCTCAACAGATCAACGACTTTCCCAGGCACGTTAGAAGCTTAGAGTTTCTCCCATAGTAACCTCAGGTTCACTAGGTCGAAAGCGTATAAGTAAGAAACGCGTATTTGATGTATTCCTACTAACATAGTGATTCATCACACTTTTAAGGCTGAAAATCGCCGAATCCGTTGAGACCGGGGCGAAAACCGCATTGGGCATCATCCAGCTGTATATTGCGCTTCAGTTCCGGGTGGATCAGTCGTTCAAGAATTTTACCTATAATTGTACCTAATGATATCGGTCGGTAGTTTTTGAGACTGGAAAGGTGACCGGTTCTATTTTTTGATACTGGAATCATTAAATTATTGGGTAAATACGTAAATACCCATGATTCACGCAAAGGTTATAAAATTCCGCCAATGAATTATGGTATACCTGGAACATATATGGACCATGTTTCAGGTACACCATAATTCATCGGCATCATAGCTAAAAATAACAGTGTATATACATATATAACTGCCCATCAAAGTTACGGTGAGTATCGTTTGAAAGCTGTGTATAAATAAACTATATACATTTATAAAAACGTATATCTTCAAATGTTAAACGCCATACTTAAAGTCATTGCACCTTATACGGAATATTCAACAATACCCTGAATAACGACCACGCAACCCTATTATATGCATATTCAACACGTTCGTGCAATCACACTAACTTGTAAGTGGCTAAAGGAAGATTAAGCAACCCGCAACAAGCCAATATATAAATCCCACCTCTTTAACTTTTTAGCTTCTCGCGGTGGAAGTAGCATTTTGAAATTCTCCAGTTTTCTTTCAAAAACTAATATTACTTTACTCTTGGGAAAATCTGAAAACACCTATAAAATTGCGTCAATTTTTTTCTGCACAAGCGTCCTAATTGGAAGTGCCTGCCTACTGTCTGAAGTTAAGCCTAATGGGTAAATGCAATGGGGTCTACAAATAAGTAAGTTATTAAAACGGCTCAGATCTGCAGTGTACGCTAAAAAAAAATACGAAACTTTCAGACGTTGAAACCGCTAGATTGGTTTTCTTCGGCTACTTTCACAGTTTAATAACATCCGGCATTTTGCTTTGGAGTAATGCCGCCGATATTAATAGAATCTTTGGCCTGCAAAAACGTGCGGTTAGGGCAACTTACAATCTGAGGTCCAGAGTGTCTTCGAGAGATAAGCTTAAAGTAGTCCATTTTTACACTAGCGTCACAATATTTTTATGTAAATGTAATTTATGTTAAGAAGAATAGTCCTTCTTTATGAAAAATAGTAAATAAGACTAATACGATAATCCTGACCAATTATATTCGGGCAAAAGCAACGCAACAAATACATGAGATAGGGCGCACTATAAGTTTCCGTTTCTGGCCACTTACATAAACAATATAGAAAAAGTAATTACAACATTTGAAAATGGAACTCTTAGCTGAAGAATAAAATTTGTTTCATCTGACTGTCACTAGTTTTTACATTGTGGCTTCATTTTAGAAATTGGTTGTCTACATCACCATGGTTTTAACTCGGGAAAATTTTCGTAGTATGATTTTTCTACGACTTTAAGTGTAATTTAACAGCGGAGCTTCGCTCGGCTTCAAACTGCTTTTGGCGATGGAGCACCATGCAAGACGACTATTTATAGCTGGTTTGCAGAATTCAAACTCGGTCGTGTGAATCTCAGTGACGAATTTCGTGATGGTCGCCCGTACACTGCAGTGAACAACAAAAACATCGATGCTGTGCGCCGTATGATCAAAACAGACATACATGTGACATACCATGAGATTCTGCGGCATCTTTAGGCATAGACATGAGTCAAATACATTTACTACTATAATACTACTATAATTAATACTATAATTACTACTACTAGGTACTACTCAAACATTTGTGTGTGAAAAAGCTGTGCTCTCGGTGGATCCCACACAATATTACTGAGGCTCAAAAAACGGATAGCGTCAACGAAGAGGCATCAAATTTCGTGAGGGACATAGTAACAGGTGACGAAACATGGATTTATAGTTACGATTCCAAAACAAAGCAGCAATCGAGCGTATGGGTCTTTCGAGATGAGCCGAAACCAACCAAAGTGGCGCGCGTGCAAAGTGCCTCTAAGCGGATGATTGCTTCTTTTTTTAATAAAACTGGACACTTGGCTACTGTTTGGAGAATCGTTGTACCGTGAATAGTGATTGGTACACGACCATTTGTTTGCCGGAAGTTATTGACAAACTCCGTAAAAATAACCGTAAACGCCATATCATATCATATCATAATGCCAGTTCACACACTGCCAGACAGACAAATTGATTTTTGAAGATGAACAACGTTGACCTTACGAGCAATCCCGCGTACAGTCCCGACCTGGCACCTTGTGACTTTTATTTATTTCCAAAAATTAAAAACCAGTTACGCGGTCAACGATTTTCATCACCTGAAGAGGCTGTCGAAGAGTATGAAAAATATGTTTCAGAGACTGTCACGGAGGAGTGGCATAAATGTTTTCAAAATTGGTGCATTCGTATGAAAAAGTGCATTAACACTAACGGAGAATATTTTGAGAAACAATAACTTCATTTCTGACCATTTATAGTATTTTTTCTTATTCATTCCTGAAACTTATAGTGCGCCCTACGTAACTACGTACCTTAGCCCTACGTACGTTCGCGCGTGCGAGGTATATATATTACACTAATACGGGGTCATTACACTATCAGTAAATAAATAGTGTACTTCGAATGTCGAGAACTAATCCCCTCAAAAATGACTTCCATAAAAGGCAGGATTATTTTTTTGGAAATGAGTTACAAATATTATGTAATATGCAGGTGTTTGATACAGAAAATATCGTATCGTGGTAACGAGATTTAAATTCTGGCAGGGATAGACTTCAACACAGGACATAACATGAGCTAGCTTTACTTTAATGTAAGTCAGGCGTGATAGTGAGGCCATGCCAGTGTCAGTACTGTAAGGGTCGTAGCCGTGGATTAGCGCAGCGAGAGACACATTTCAATGAGAAACGAGGAAAAGAAACTGAAATAAAACCTGACTACGTGTATTCAGATCGAAGCTTCTACTTGAACAACCAGGATTTTCATTTCATCTATCCTCCGCGACCATGACTACACCGCTTAGGGTGCAGATGCAGGGGCGGTAGGACCGCGGAGAAAGAGACGTGTTGGTGTATCGTTGCCGTTCGTCCTGTCCTCCGCGGCCGAATTTGGGCAATTGGCCCGGTGAGCGCTTTAAAGGACTCTCTACGGAGAGTCCACGTGGATTGCGTAGCGCGCGTAGTGTGTTGCGGCGGAGCCTACCAACAGATCCACCGTGGGGGCTGGGGGAGCATCCTCTGAACTTCACAGTTGAGGGGATATTGTCCTGGCCTCATGGCCCCTGGGTAGCGGACTCGGGGGGAGTTCGCTGCCCAGCATGGAGGGGCCCGAAATGGAAGGCTCGTCTGGTGTTCGGCGAGCCTTACATTTGGAGTCGGGCGACCGTTGTGTCTCCCTTCTCGGGGAGGGGCTGCGCTGGGCGCGGCCAACCGCTGGTGGAGGCGCGGACGAGCGATAGCGTACCCGTGCCTCTACCTGCGGAGGGGAGGGGAGGAACACCCCGGGGGTTTGATGCGGTCGGGTTGCTCCCCGTAAAAAAATATTTTTTTTATCTCTGGAAAGGTATAATTTCACGACGCACTGTCATTACTTTGCTGTAGCATCAGTAACGCCATTGACACGTTGCTGCAAATTATACTTTAAACCTTACAAGAACCTTAGAGTAAGTAACAAAAACACACAGATACTCACATATTAGTCCAGCGGCCACAGTATGTATCAGTACCAATATTGGGTAAAAATACAAAGCACAATATATAGCTTTCTTTCCAGGATTGGGCGCATTCCACGTCACCACCCAGGGTCTCACGGTGACAGTCATTAGCAGACTAAATGCGTATATTAGAAGGACTATTGTATATCTGTAAACAAGAGATAACTAATACATACTATACTAATATCAAATAATAAGAATGTACCAGATAATCACAACAATTAATTGGTCATAAACTAGAGATTCCCTGTATTATGAGTACCAGAACAACAAAATTCACTCCAGCGCACTACTCAGAACACCCAGATGAGGACTGAAATTTAAAAAATAATTTCCGCAATTGTTCCTACCGGAAATCGAACCCGGGATCCAGTGCCATACCACAAAACATTTAACCACCGACCTTGTCAAATACGTATGTGTATATTATTATAATATAATACTAAACACTGTTTAGTGTTATGTGTTACACACAAACACTGTTATGTATTATACTTGGAGATGTTAGTGCAATTGATACACACAGGAAATGAAACTATTTTACCGGATTTAATAGCCAGACTTTAATAACTCCATGAGTGTGTGTATTATGTATATCAAAAATTTCAATCTTATTTATAACTTACAACATTCATTTAATAATATTGTTAAACAGATTTTGTTATACATAAGACATAAAGAATAATGCTATTTATTTTACCATTATAGTAACAATACTATACAAATACTAGTATACAAATACTTACAAAGGATACACCGCTTCCTGTGTGCAATGTAAAATCTCCTTATAATCAGGTTGTGGATTATGCAGCAACGTATACCAGTCGGACAAAGCCTCAGGGGAACACACGTATAGAAACATTGTGCCCTTTGGAGGTAGTACTAAAAGAGCCGCTAGGGTTCCAAACAGAACTTCTGCGAAAGCACAGATGTGCTGTGCGAGGATGCTAGATTTGCTGAAATAGATAATCTGAGAAGCTCATCATTTCAAAAATATATTTACGAGGTGGCCAAAAAGTTTATACTAACTTTAAACAAAAAAAGAACTATTTGCTTGTAAAATATTATATTATCTATAGTCATTTTAAGAATAATATTTTAGTGCACATTTTCAGAAGAATAGGGAAAGTTTTAAGTTTATAAGTCAAAAACACTCAGAACTGGTGAATTGTAATGATGTCATTATTTCAACACGATAATGCCAAACCACACACATCTTTAGAAAGCCATCATAAATTATTGCAGTTAAGTTGGTATGTGTTATCCTATGCACCATATTCGGCCAACACAGCCCCTTTAGATTTTCAAATGGTTCAGTCTTTACAAAATTCTTTGAATGGATGTGACTTTCATAACGAAGAGAAATCAGATAACACTTAAGAGCTTGTTTTTGTAAATACAGATAACAATTTTCATGAAACAAGAATTCTAAAATTACATGGCAAAAGACTGTGATCAAGATGGCCTACTCAATAATTACCCCCATGTCAGAGGATAGTAAAGGAAAACATTTAGATAAAACCTACTACGCTAAGAAGTATTCATAAAGTACCAAAAAAAGTTATTTTCCTAATGAAACTCGAACCCTATTTTTTACCTTACTATGCACAATAACAAAATGTTAAGAAACAACTATTTCAACTTTTTCAAATCAATTATTTTCTAGACAATGTTAAGTTAAAAGAGTGAAGAAATTATAAAAATAGTCCCAAAATATACCTACCCTTTAGCTACAGCAACCATGTCAATAAAAAACCAATGCAGTACCAATGGTAATAGTACCATGAAGCCGAGGTACTGCCAGTCGTAAAGTGTGGGCTCATCGGCACACGGCACGCAGTAACTGGAGGTATTTGTCCTATACCCTCGGGGGCAAGCACCACAGTCACTCCACGATCCATCTTCGAGTTGCGTTCGCCCGCAATAAAGCCCTGGACACGATCTCACAGCTGACATTTTAACAAATAGTTGTTGCAGTAACGATTGCAATTTTCACATCATGTAATATTATTTTTGAGAATAAATCTAGTATCTATCCAATACAAAATGAATGTCCACAAAAATATACATATAATAGTAAAACACCAAACAAATGTCAAAGCACTGTCAAGGTGACATTTTTTTTTTAAATTTATTAAGGCTTTGGCAAAGCCATCAGCCTAAACATGAAGTTTAATTATGTTTCTGTAAATATGGCCGCCACAAAGAGGATAGGCAATTTGAGGCGGCGTGCTTAGATTGACTCGGCATTCCTTAAAACGGGCCGATACGGGTATTTTAGTTCGAGATTCGTATAATTTCGCGTTTTAATCTTCGATTAAGGCACAATAGCACTATCCTATTCCACTTTAAACTAGTTTCACAAAATAATTGAAAGTCAAAATAAAAACGACACTTTTCCCTCCAAAAGGTCCAGAGCGAATCTCAAGGTGACATTCGAAAAGGCAAATGTCAAATCTGTTTCTGTAAACGCAAACATTTGTTTAAATTTGCAAATTCTATGCAAATAAAAATAATATATAATTTTTTTTCTCTATTTTATTACAAAACGCTAATATTAAATGAAAAAACGCCTAAAATTGACGTAGGCATATATTGACAATTAACAGTCAAGAGCACATCATGTTTATTTAACACTTTGACATACAAAGAATAACAGCTAGTTCTTCCATCGAGAGGTTTGCAGTTGCTGACAATAGATATCTGCCGTAATCGTTTGGCCAGATTTTAGAAAGCTGTAGTGAACGACACCGACACTAGTCCACCAAACACTCACAAGTAACTTTTTCGGAGTCAATTTTCGCTTGGGGCAGGATTTGGCTGGTTCTCTAGGATTCAGCCATTGCGACGAGCGCTTCCGATTATCGTACAGGATCCACTTTTCATCACAGGTAATGATCCGACTTAAAATCCCTTCATTATTGAGTCGGTTAAACAATGTAAAGCAACAGGCGACGCGTGTTTGCTGGTTTAATTCATTCAATTCATGAGGTACCGACCTTTCAAGCTTTTTTACTTTCCCGATTTGCTTCAAGTGGATTAAAACAGTTTTATCACTCACACCCAAGCCTGCAGCTAACTCTGAAGTGGTTTGCGATAACTCCGCTTCCACAACAGCCTTTAATTCTTCATTATCCACTTTTGTATCCGGCCGTCCACGGGGCTTGTTCTGAAGATCGAAATTTCCAGAACGAAAACGTTGGAACCAAAAGCGTACCGTGTTTTATTTTGCGAAACTAGCGCCCTATACATCGTTAATCCTTCGAGCTGTTTCTGCAGCACAGGTGCCACGGTAGAACTCGTACTCGTAAATATAGCGATATTTCATGTTTGCCATTGTGCGATATGAGCGACGCCAAAGAAAAAACATGCGTTAGCATCCCTAGTAAGTTTGTGGAAAAAACTAATCAGGAAAAAACAAATACAAATAAACGACTGTTTTCGAAACTCAAATGTACCAGCTAAATGGATTTATAAATTTTAATTTGGCGTTCTTAACCAAGGACGACATATTTTACAAAACGCCAATTTCATATGTAAGGATCTAATACATACTTTGGACCGTTCTTATTGTAAGCGGCATAGAGTTGGATTTAAGTTTTAAGTGTCAAGCTTGACGTGCTCTTGACCCCGCACGAGGTGTACGATAAAACTAAAACATTAAAATGTAACGTTCTTTTTAATAATAAAAAAACAAAGCTTGTAAACTATTATTACAAACTTATATATGTTATTGATTCTAACGTAATGACGCTATTTCATTACGTTGGAATCAATAACATATTAGTTTGTAATAATAGTTTACAAGCTCTGTTTTTTTATTACCTGTTTTGTGTAACAGCAAATGTGGCGGAGTGTACTAATTGATTCAGAAAAATAAGTAAATCAGGTAAGGCTCTGAGTGTCGTATTCTAGAACACTACTCAATGCTCAAGTCAGGATTTGAGTATGGCTTAAAGCACTCGAAATCATACTCAAGTCCCTGTCATTAGAGTCGTATTTCCAGTGCTTGTGTTTCCAGTGCAATCCTGACTTGAGCATTGAGTAGAGTTCTGGAATACGACCCTTAGGGTCGTATTCTAGAACTCTACTCAATGCTTAAGTCAGAACTTGAGTATGATTCAAAGTACTAGAAATCATACTCAAGTCCCTGCCATTAGGGTCGTATTTCCAGTGCTTGTGTTGCCAGTGCAATCCTGACTTGAGCATTGAATAGAGTTCTAGAATACGACCCTGAGAGTCGTATTCCAGAACTCTACTCAATGCTCAAGTGAGGACTTGAGTATGATTTCAAGCACTGGAAATACGACCCTAATGGCAAGGACTTAAGTATGATTTCTAGTGCTTTAAATCATACTCAAATCCTAACTTGAGCATTGTGTAGAGTTCTGGAATATGACCCTGAAAAACATTTTAGTACTCCGATAAAAATCGTGTTAAAATATGTCTAACAAACGAGGCATATTCACAAAACACAATTTCCATATTATATCAATTAATATAATTTCAATAAGTTACAATACAATTTACAAATTTTAGCTAAGTAATCTATCACGCTACAACGCTTTGAATTTTCCGGTATAATCTATGTTCTTCTTTTGAAATTTCCTGCCAACTGTTCTTGCGATTGATAGAAGAATTTTAGTTGCCAGCCAGAGGATCACTACGCCTCCTAGTAAGAAAACAAGTACAATATCCAAAAGATAGTATTCTCTAGTAGTAACACCAACCGCAGGGGCGCGTAAGTGACGAGCACCACCATTTCGCAGTACGTATTCTGTCCACCAGACTGCGTTCTCTGGCCCAGAGTTTAAGTTGTTTACTATCTTTGCTTTAAGTGTGGTCATTGCCTTTTTGTACCTGGAAATTACGGGCAGAAGTTACTATACCAACTCACATAAATTTCACTGCGCTCTCGTACCTCTAACAATATAGTGCTTAGTTTGCGAATTTGGGAACTTGATATTTCTTTAAAAAATTTGGCATCTTCTCCACCACGTTGGTTTCCTCACGACGTTGTATGATTTGTACAGTGCACATGGTTTAAAAAGACATGCAGGCCCGTACCGTAATCAGACTTTCCTGCAAAGCAAGTTTCCTTCCAAGGCAAGTATTCTACCAATCAAATAAGAAATCTGACCACGCGAACGATGGTCCCCCAGTGGGAGATCTTAATTAAAAGGTCTCCGGTTCTACGGCATTTTTAATTTCAAACTAACCTACATTTTCTTAATGTTGTATGACCTAAACCCTCTCATTAGAAGAGACTTATCTAATATTAAATTATATGTATACCTGCACAATATTCAATTGATTCGATGTCTTATTTTCTCAAACTCGTTTAGAGTGAATTAAAGAGTGATTATTCAGGCGATGACAAAACTTTCTATTTATTTTAAATATCTTATCAATATTGTTAATTCGGATGGCAAAATTTGTATATACAATATACAATGCATTTTTTGCATTTTAGTAACTTTGTGCTTTAAGATAGAAAAGAGAAAGTAAAAAAGAGAGAGAGTAAGATGGAAAAGAGCTTTGAGAAAGCAAGACGACGATATTAAACCACTTACCTGTCATTGGTAGCAACAACAGAGATAATAGATTTCAATGAATCCTTTTCTAAATGGTAAGGGTCTATAATCTCACCAGCACCATGCCTCGTGATCAGTTGCAGAAATGGTTTTCTTGATTTGACAATAGGCAGGCCGATAATTGGCACTTCGTAATACACTGCTTCTTCCAAAGAACGTAAACCTCCATGAGTTATAAACGCTTTTACGTTGGGATGAGCTGAAAACAACGCAGACAAAATCTTGTCACCATCACAAGATTAATTGAGGCAGTAAATGTTCACATAAGCATCTATACTTCGACACCTAGGTACAGCAGCCTCGACAAAATTATCCGAACTGCATACTGTTTAAGTCTTGGTATAAATTCACCAGGTGTGATCCATACAAGATATTTAATTCCTTTTATACAAACCCTTGCAGCTTCATAACGACTTATTAGGTACTATTCAAACACACAATATTTCAATTTCATGTACACAAATGGATAGATTTACCCTGTAACTACCAAATACAATTACCTAAAACTTCCTGTTGAGGAAACCAAGGATGGGCAATAACATTATCAGGTTTGTTTATGGTAACATTTTCGATCTTCCACAACACAGTGAAGGGTAGCTGACTAAAGGCATCTGCTAAAGTCTGTAAAATATGAGGAGCCAACTCCTCTGACTCTTGAACAGCTCCGATAGTAAAATATATGGCGCCTTTTCTTGCTGCGTCTAAAGCTGTTTTCAAACTCTGAAAATTATGGACTGCTAAATGTTATCTTTTACACACATTTCTACACATCATACTCATTGACACGTCAGTGTAATTCTCCGTTATAAATAGGAATTAGTTAGGAAATCTAAGTAGGTGTACCTATACCTTAGGTAAACTTAATCCAGGAACGATTTGCAGCAGATCAGTGAATACTGTGCTTGGAACAGTGGGTCTATTTCCAACTAACAATGGGTTAGCAGCAATGAACAAAACATCAATATCTTGTTCAACTTCTATGAGATTTCTCTTCAACCCAAGAATTCTCTTGGCGGCGATTTCGCATAGAGGCAAATAGTTGTTGTAATATTCGTTTCTAGTTTGTATGTACCTATTAACTTCAACCAACGTTTGCCATAGATTCAGATTTCCGTAGTTCAAGGTATTAACATCTGGATATAATATCGGGTGAATCTGATTTCCTTTGGCTTCGTACTGGTGTATTTTCCCCGAAGTTGTCGTAATCGCAATATGTGGAACTTTGTACTTGTCTGCCACCGCGTACAGCACTGGAACATCAGCTTCAGTAATCACAAGATCGAATTTGATATTGGGATTAATGAATAGGGCAGTCATTTGTTTAGATTTAAGCTGAGAAATGGCTAATTTAACGTTAAACTCATTGATCGCCCGCATTCTGGTATAATAATCTTCTGTATTTGACATAAGATTCTTAAACTCATCCCAATATGCCCCAGACTCTTGTCCGACATCCAATTCCACAATTTTTTCAATCTCGGGATACGTGAAATGTCCAGGATAAGGCGTCATCATCACAACATTATGACCTCGTTGCGCAAGTTTTGTTGCCAATCCTCTGAATACAAAATGATCAGAATGAGATAATGAAGAGAATAGTGCGAGAATAGAAGAACATTGCACATGGCAAACATATGATAGAATTAACACTGCACCGACATGAAACCACCTCATGGTTACACAATTTAAAAACTTAATATAAATGTGTCCGGCCCACACACTCGCCACGATGTGAAATAGGGACTTGTGAAATTATTATACAAACACATCTGTGTAAACATAAAACTAAGAACGAAAAAATTTATATAACCGCAGCAACAATAAGGGCGCAGTGGCGTAATATCAGTTGAACATAACTATGAGAGTTATGTTCATTCATGTAATAGATGGGTACCCAAGTCTTTGCAATGTATCTTTGTAATCACACAAAATTATAAAATGTTAGGTATTATTTTCTTTGGTAGGCATATATATTCATATACGAGTAACATACTTATATTGTGTAACATCCATGTGTAGTATACGCAACCGGTTTACATTCATTTAGCTAAATCTAAGAGAGGTAAATAATGACAATCTCAAAATAATAAACAAACACATTAATATCGAGTTCTTAGGTTTTCGCGATTGTTACACATAGGAAATGAAACTATTTTTCCGGATTTAAATCGCGTATATTTGTCAACCGTGACCATGGGACCTGTAAAGGGCCCGAAACGTCGGTTTGTTTGAAAAAACAAATATACGCGATTTAAATCCGGAAAAATAGTTTCATTTCCTAAACACATTAATGTTAAACTAATATTATAAATGCGATCTGTCAATAACGTTTTCACGCTTAAACCACTGAACCAATTTGATGAATTTTGGTGTAGAGATAGATGGGACCTAGGAGAAGGACATACGCTATTTTTTGTCACAAAAATAAATCTTAAAGGAGGTGAAACAGGAGATGAAAGCAGAAAACTCATATTTATGCCATTTGTAAGAAATAAACAATGTTTAAGCGTGTTTGACCAATTACCCCTCAACGTAAAATAGGGGATAAGAAGGCTAGTCGAAGTTCTTTAAACTGCCTCTGTGACCGAACGGTTACCATGCTGGACCGCCACGCAGAGGTCCCGGGTTCGATTCCCGAGCCGGGAAAAATATTTGTATGGCCTACATTCATTTCTCTCGCGAGTTTGGGTGCAATTTGTGGTTGTCTATTTATGTCCATGGCACCCGCGGTACATGGTTTCCTTAGTGCGGGGCTATATTAATAAAAAACTTATTCTGCACAGACGAATTTAAATACGTATACTTTAGTCGGCTACTCACTCACTCGAGCTGTACCTGTAACGTAAAAGATACAGTAACGAGGTTCTATTGTGTACAATAAGCGTCTTCACTCGCTAGAATGAGTTCCGGTTATCGTCGGCTCACTGTAAACCGCACTGCAAGCTCGCAAACCACGTAGGGACACACTATGATTATTGGTAACAAAACATGCAAGGTTACTGTTACAGCTCGCTAGTGAGCACCCTGCTTTACATAGCCAATCGCTGTAATGGGTGCTACCATAGCAACGTTATTCCAAACATAAACATAAACATTCCAATGAATTTCCTGCTCAAAAAGAATTGTTTTATTGGATTATTAACTTCGGTATATGAATGTGTTCTCATCGACAAATAATTTCAACTGAGGATGGATAACGACGTATCTAATTATTCTGTAATTGGAAGAATTGGAGAAGGTGCTCATGGATTGGTTTTCAAAGCGCAACATCTTCCAACAGGTCGATATGTAGCGCTGAAGAAAATCCTGATCAAAAACATAGAAGACGGGATTCCAGTGAACGTAATGAGAGAGATCAAAGCATTGCAGTTACTCCGGTGTAAATACGTGAGTTGGATCAACATTTGACCTTTTTGGCCACTTTTTATTGCGAAATATCGAGACATGAAACCCTTTTATGTTTGCATACGGGAATAATGCTGCTCACCCGACTACAAGATATTAAAGTCCTTTGAGGATTTTGAACTTCAAAGACCGCCCACCCATTGGGCCACTAGTGGCGGCCACTAAACGCGACCACAAGTTGCAGGCGAGATTTTTTATACATTTTATTCATTAACTGGCATCGGCGCAAGCTAAGCGTTGGAGTAAGCGTAAGAGTGGCCGCCTCCGAGTCATTAGGCTTGTATAGTTCATGAACTTCGAACTATTAGGAATATATTCCCGACACTGACCGACATAAACTAGTTCGTCTTGCACGGTTTTAATAGTTCATCGTTCTTTTTAGTTCAGTACGAACTAGGAACTTTCTGCGTTCATAGTTCACCTGTCTTCTATTCAGTAGGAACGGTGCGTACGGACAAATAGCGATATTTCACTGCTTTTAAGTTCGAGTTGCCGAGTTGTAAGAGTCGAGTCGAGCACGATTGAACGTTGGCAGTTCGTTCTAAGTCTCTACGTATCTACATTATGTATACATATATGTAATCTTGTAAAAAAGTAAGTGTTCATATTTTTTGATAGGTATGGTAGGTGTCTGTATGTATAATATCAACCTACGTGTAAGAGTACGTATATGAAATAATTGTACCTAAATATTGATTTTCAAACACACCATTTTAATAAAATTATTGTTCATCTAAATTTAAAAAAAATCGAAATATTTAATACAGTGTACTATTGACCTCATAATACTAAAAGTCCGTAGTGTCTTGTGAATAAAATAACTAGTTTGGAACGTTCACTGTCCGAGCAAGGACAAGAGGAACTAACGAAGTAAGGAACTTGATGAACTAAATAAACAAGAAGACCGACCTAGTTCAGTTGACCGATTGAACTAACTAGGATCGCTCCCTCTAAAGACCGATCAGGCACAAGTTTACGAGCCATAAGGTGCGAGCAACACACTCAACCACGGTAGCAGACTTCTTTCTCCTCGCCCGGCAATGTTGCCGTTTTAACTATTTAAGCACTAGATCTATTCTATTCTGAAAATTTGGTTTTAGAGAAAAATAAATATTTAGCTATTTTAGCGTCGTTTTGAGCGGTATTATTTTTAAATATAAAAATCATGATCTGTTAATGAAAATAAATTTAAAGTTTAAAATAAAGTTATATCCTATTTTTGTGCCTAACGCTGGTAACACTCAACATAGAATTTATGGAAACGGACGATTCCTAGCCATATGTGCTGCTAGTGGCCATGACTGATCCAGCCACTATAGTGGCTGCGACAAGTGGCATTAGCCACCTAGTGGTTGCGTTTAGTAACCACTACTAGTGACCCAGTGGGCGGTGGCACTAAAAGGGAACACTGCTATATATGCTATATATGTATGAGCTAACTGAAATAACACTGTCGACTTAAACAGTCAAGACGGCACATCGTATTTTATAAACTTGTAGGTAGGTACTATTTTTACTCGAAAACTATTTTTCTTACTCAGGTAATAAAGCTCTATAACATGTTTCCCCGCGGCATGAGTCTAGTGCTGGTGTTGGAATACATGACCGGCGGTCTTTGGGACATGCTGCATCATAACCAGCAGGAATTGACGTTACCACGTGTCAAAACCTACGTGCAAATGTTACTCAAGGGAATAAGATACATGCACGCACATTATGTTATGCACAGGGTAAGAAAATGACGAACTAGCCTACATTTAAAAAATTTTGATTCTGTAGCGACTTACGGTATGTACATATACACATTATCAATAGGTATAATATACCACTTGAACAAAAGAGGATATGGTGACGACAGTGTATGTTGAGATGATTTGGGCACATGGAGCGGATAAATGAATGTAGATTAACGAAAAAATATATAGAACTAACGTGGAAGGTATCATTGGAAGGGTGCGGCCACGAAGAACATTCTCAGAACAAATTGAGAGTGTTCTTAAAAAGGCTGGGGTGCAGAAGGGTGGACAAGAATAAGAGGGCCTATATGAAAAGATTGATGAATGTAAATGCAGGAGGAGAGGTTTGTCAGTCTCTGCCTATCCCAATGGGGATCTAAGGCTCAATTTATATTGGGGCTGAACGGAATGGAAGCGATTTTTTGTAACGATATTGTACATAGCGTAATGAACTTCATGGTCAATTGTGTAACGTACAAACCAGATACGAACCAAAAATCACGTCAATCAAGAATGCTCGCGCATGCTCGAGAATGCTCGCACATTCGCGAGAATTCCGCAGCTACCGTCAGCGACGCCTGGCGTATCTGCAGAAAGTGGCGCGAAGGCAAGCGCAGTGTGACGTCAAACGTCGACGAAATACTACAATCTCAAGGTGCGTCGCGAGAAAGCTCGCGAATGCTCGAGCATTCCAGCGACCACGCTCGCCTTTTTTGTTCCATTCCGTTCCGCCGCAATGTAAATTGAGCCTTAGGACGTGAGTATAGAATAATATACTACGTATATAATTTTACCATCAGATACCTACCTACATACGTTAGAATAAATTAATACTCAATTCTGCCAATAGCATGCCATTATCGTGCAAGCAGATTGGTTGGACATTAATGTGGTAGGAACAGTAATATTTTATTGCATATGTTTCATCATCTTTAACTACCAGTATTTTTGGCGCGCTATGGTTCATAATTGGGTGCCGGATGATATCCCACTAGGACCAATTTACGATAATGAATTTTTGTAAATTGGTTCCACTCCGAGTATTCTGAGTAATGCCCCAGATTGAACTCCATTACTCTGGTACTTATAGTACAGGGAATTACCTACTTTGGAGACCAAGTAAGTGGTGTAGTTATCTGGGACTTTATTAATATTAGAGAAAATATTATCTAATAGCTCTAGTTCGTAAGGGATCAGATTCTGTTTTGTACCTAACGAACAAAGTTATTGTTAAAGGACCTCAAACCAGCCAATCTCCTAATAAATCATGAAGGAATTCTGAAAATAGCTGATTTAGGATTGGCCAGACTTTACTGGCCTGACGGTGGTCGACCCTACTCGCATCAAGTTGCAACACGGTAATATGACCATTTAACCATAAGTTGTTTTATGTCCAATGTGACTCACACTGTCCACGATCTCATCTGATAACGCACAGACTTAACATAGCCGCGCTCTAGGGACACCCTGTGTCGCAGGTGCCATGGACACAAACATAGACAACCACAAATTACACCCAAACTCACGAGAGAAATAAATGTAGGCCTAACAAATATTTCTCCCGGCCCGGGAATCGAACGTAGGACCTTTGCGTGGCAGTCCGGCATGGTAACTGTTCGGCCACAGATATAGTTCAGGCAAGTTCAGTTCGTTCAGTAATGACATTCCATACATTTATTGATATCAACAAGGATGATAGACGTTTTTCTAGAAGATACCTAGAAATTGTGACCTTACAATTCTTCAATCCAATAATAATAAAGTAGCTTTTGTGAGCTATGCAATAATGTATTAAATACACTTAAGACAATTTTATACATTTCAGTTGGTACAGAGCCCCAGAACTATTGTATGGAGCAAGATTTTACACCGAAAAAGTTGACTTGTGGTCAGTAGGTTGCATTATCGCAGAATTGATTACCAAACAACCGCTCTTTGCCGTAAGTATTATTATTGTTAATACAAAGATCGAACACTTAGAAACATTCCTTCGATTAGGCTGGATTCGAACCAGCGCTTTCAGCATAACGTGTTCGAACCGTTTTTGGGTGATAAATTGATAACCCTGTAATGTCCTATCTATACCTTTTATGTTATAGGTTGGAACTAGTCGATGCCAGTTATACTATTGAATATGTAAACAATGGTCGGGAAAAGGTGTTCCAAATAAGTAGATAAATGTCTACATATAGACCAAGGAATAACATAGAGTGGTTAAAACCACTAAATATTTATTTATAACTTTTTCGAATTCCGGATTTCCGAAAAGTTTTATAAAAACTACTTAGGTAGTTGAAGTTGGGTTATAAAGTAATTCTAGGGGCGCCATGTAAAAACATAGTAGATAACTACCTCCATGACCGAACGGTTACAATGCTGGTCTGGCAAGCAGAGGTCCTGGGTTCGATTTTCGGGGCGAGAGAAATATTTGTATGACCCACATTTATTTCTCTCGTGAGTTTGGGTGTAATTTGTGGTTGTATATGCGTGTGTCTATAGCAGCGGTGACACATTTTTTCGGCGGTGGCACAATTAATCTTTCGTCAAAGTAAACATTTTTATGAACTACAAGCGGAAGCTTACTTTAACTAATGCGGATATTATTTATTATTATTATTATTATATATAGTTATGTACGAATTTAATTAAATTACATTATGAATTCGAAAAAGAAATTAATTCATATTTGGTGGTTTCCACTACTCTATGTCACTCCATGTAGATAGAATATCACTATTCCGACCATTGATAATATAACGATAAACATAACATCAACCCATATAGGCAATTTTTACCTTTCAAGGGAGAATCCGACATCGAACAGCTAGCAATAGTCCTTCGCCACTTAGGCACGCCCACAGAAGAAAGTTGGCCTGGGCACACAGACCTACCAGATTTTCATAAAATAAGCTTCCCCGAGTCGACCGGTACGCCGTGGCCAGAACTATTGCCTGGAGCTGACCCTGACGCTATCAATCTTGTGAAGTTTTTCGTGTTGTATGATGACAAGAAAAGACAATCAGCCAAAGAGGTATCTAAAATTAACATACAAGAAAACACACCACGAAAATACATAAACATACACACATACATACACATACATTTAATGGAACCAAAAATAGTCAGAATATAAAATAGTAATGTAATGTTTATACATAATATAAACTATGGTTTATAGTTAAATAAATAACAATTAGACATACAGTAATAAATCAACGTCTTACTCGAACTTTATCCAAAATATTGAAGTTAAACAAAATTGTTTTTTTTACATTTAGTGTCAAAGCAGAAACAGCTGAAAATTAAAAAATCTAACAGTAATCTAACTTTAATAAATAAAAAACTTTTTCAACTAAGTTTACGCAATTTACAAAAACGCAACACCATCCTCCAGCCTCCGGCAAACCTGTATTGGTAGGAAATTAAAACAAATGAATGGAAAAATATCAGTTGACCAATGTTTTTATTTTCAAATTAGACCCAAAATAAATAAGTAAAATGACTGGCCAGGCCTTTGAAAAAACACTGAATTATTTAGGGAATTTTACTAGTGTTCCACAAAATCTGTCAGTATGTGTATTTTTCATGTTAGATTTTTTTAAGTTTATTAATTTATTGTACTATTATTTATATGTACTATATAATAGTCATATAATTGTGCCACAGTGTATTGATGCTAATAATATCCTTTTACAGGCACTGAAGCATCATTGGTTTAAAATTAGACCCCTGCCAGCGTCTCTACAGGAAATGCCAAAGCCACAATTAAATGCACATAAACAAAAATGAGGACATCATTAATCTTAAAATGCATATTTTATTTTCAAATAACTTAAACGTAACGTGTGTGTACCTAAAGTAGCTAATTAAATTATAATAATTACAATACCATGTTGTACTTTAAGCCTTATGTACATTTGAGCCTACACGTTTTGTAGCGAAAAATATTATCATATATATCATTTTTCTCCATACTTAAGCTGCTTGAACCAAAACATGAATTTCATATAATATATTCTAATATTCTCCAATCCGAGCGCTAACTACAGATCAAAAGCCTGTCAGGATGTGCATTTATTTAAAAAAAAAAGAAATTGATTTTATTTATTGCGAAATCAATAAAAGACTAATATAACAGGTTGGAATCAAACAACTAATATCATCATAACTAAAATAATAAATGAAATTTCACATTAAAAAATTGATGACAAACATCAAATTACACCAACATGATAAGAGATCACTTTATAACGTTCATACCATAATTTCTTAGTTCTTGAAAAACATTCAAAACACGCTCGTGTCTTTATACATAGCAGTATGTCCATAAAGTAAGACAATACTTAAAGGAATAAATTGGTTTATTTAACACCTAATAGACTCTACCTAATTACATGCAAAGTATAAGAAAAATGTACATAAAATAGCATAATCAACATCTGACGAGTGCACTGTGAAAACCGCACGATGCTAAACTGTTTGTGAAAGTTATATATTGTTAATATGTACAGTCGATGCTCTTAGATACCTGACCCCCAAGTCGACATTTTGGTTCCGAGGGCCTTCTTACGCATTGAACAGAAAAGTATAAAGGAATTCCAGCTTTTTGGTTGAAATATGTATTTATATAATGTAATTAAAGATCAAATTGTCAATGTCATTCACTAATGATGCAAAAAGAAAATTACTTTGACGGCTCATAGGTTAATTGTTAAGTTTGTTTAACACTTTTCTCCACACTGATCGACTCTGAACCCAGTAGGTATCTTATCGACTGTACTTATATACATTTCCTTTTATCTAATGAACACTATATGTTAGGACTTGACGTTGGCTGCTTTTTATTTACATTTCAAAGCAGATTTCAACGAACATTCGTTAGATGTTATTAAGCTTTAAGATTGCAATACTGAATCGATAAAACTTTGTACCGACAATGACTTACAAACTACTACATATATTACATATATTTGCTAAAGGTAGGTAGGTTTCGAGCAGTGGTACCCCGGCAAAGAGTTACTAATATGCATTATATAAATGTATATGTTGATGGTGTTGTTAAATTGGTGTTGTTATGTTGAAAAACGATGTGTCAACAAGGTCAGGCTGAAAATCAGTACCGCGAGGCATACAGCCACAAGGATTTTACTGAGCCTGTTCCTTCCACGCACTGTTGTTGTTCCCACAATATTGTTATATTATTATGTTCTGTACGTATTACTGTGGGTGGTAAATAAATGGTTTAAATGGTATATCATTTTCTACCGCGGCATCCTTGCCGCCATTCTCGCGTTGCTCAGAATTACCTTAAAGAGCGGTTACATATGGAGGCTTTTAGCGCGTCTGTAGCGATTCAATAGCCTTGCAGTCGCTAATCGTCTACTTTTACTTAATCAGCGATACAATCGCGATGCAAACGTGATACACATTTTTAACTATTCCACATAAGCGACTGCATCAATGCAGCCACACGTTTGCGTCGATGCAACCGCCTGTAAATAGCAAGTGTCGCGGTGCAATCACGCGTTTCACACGCGCGTTTGTATCGCTGCTAAAAATCGCCGTGTGTAACCGCTCTACCACAGTAGGCATCTACCACAGCGTAAAGTAGAAACTAGCACAGCCATTGTTACGACAAGTAACATTGGTCTTCGATATTTTAGCATGGAGGTTAGGTTACATTTGTCTCGATACAAAAGAAAACATGAAATCAATTTGTCAGTTCTAAATTATTAAACTCTGACAAATTACTTCTGAACCTTTACAGAAAGATTATCATTAGAAAGATGTTTAAACAACGGTCTATACCCAAGGGGCCAAGTCAGGCAGGATATGTATCGACTGCATACTTCAACTTCTTATTGCTAATTCTGAAATCAGATGCTAGTAGAAACCAGTTGGCTACCACGACTCTTAATGTCCAGTGTAAAAGCGCCATAAAAATTACTGAAGCGCTAGAGACGCACGACTGCCGCGCCACAGTCGCGCTACTGTAGCGCTTCTACAAGGGTGTCATTTGAAGACGCCCTAACTATCAAATTGAACATGGTGCCTGCTTGTTAGTTATAACATAATGTGTAGGCGTCTAATCGAACCGAATCAGTGTACCTTAACAACTATGTTTAGAAAACCGCCACACAAATAACATCAAATGAAATAAGGTCTCTGTAATTACGATGTTTTCAATTCTAAATTTTCAGGAATTCCACAAAACATTCCAAGGATTATCATGCATATAGTCCCGAGATAAATAATTATATCTACAATATCTAGTTTTCTACAGAATGGGTGAACCCCCAGAAACTAAGTACCGAAAATGAAATCAATGTTCTATGTAAAATATTTATACCTATTTTAACAAAACATATGGAACAGCTCATATTTTTTATGCGATTGGCGAAAGGTTACCTACCTAAATTACTGTCAAAATAGAATTTTGTTAAGACCCTATATTGTTGGTTGCACCTGTAATTTCAATACGGAACCTCCGGAAGTTCTTTGAAATTGATAGTACTTTTATTTATAATTAGAAAATTTGAACAAAGGTATCATCTTCGTGTATCATATACAACTTTCAGTGGCGGAGTAGAATACGGCTTCGTGTTTTTTATTACGTATTGAAACCATAAAGAAAATCAGGAACTGTAAATTTACCGGATTTTATTTTACAATTCTACATTTACGCACTTACATAAAGTTTTACTTCGTGCAGTCACTATTATGTCTATTAAATCTATGTACTACACACCATTTGGTATAGCTATAATTAATATAAATATTTGCTAACTGTGGACTCGATCCGTACATAATAGTACTTCTGACATGAAATTGTTGCGAAAAAAATTTTACTGTTTTCTTTCTTCCCATACAAAACAATCAGCCAATTAACCCCTGTGTAAAGGTAAGTCAATTCAAATATTATTGTCTTAAATATTAATCACCTTTTTACCCGCTTCCGTCAGAAATACGCGTAGTTTGTACCAGAAACAATTTCTGTTTTATTTTTCTCGGATTTAAATCGCATATAGCGGTGACCATGGTACCTCTAGAGAGCCCGAAACGATAGTTCGTTTTGTTGTTTCGTTTCCTATGTGTAACAATCACGAAAACCTAAAAACTCGATATAGACTTCATTTCTTTAAAAAACTTTTTTTTCTTTATCTACTTACTCTACGCAGTTAATAATGATTAATGGGGACTTAAGAATCTGCAATAAATGTAAATACTGTCTATTCCATACTCTCCAAGAGTAAGCGCATTGCTTGTGTTGTTGTGCGTGTGTGTGTGTCTCACCAAATTTTAGAAGAAAACCGCTGTATTTAATATAAGTAGCTTTATATATACCAATGTTTAATTTCAACTGAACTAAATAGAACACGTATAGTATACAATATACATTTTAATTTTGTTTTTTTTTATTTTTATATAAATTCTGAAATAAAGCCAGTATCTGCCGCTCGACCTAAACAAAATGAACCGTATACTAATACGGGAAAAAATTGAATTCGAGCTGAGGTAGTATCGACTCTTAATATGGCAGAGTTGCAAATTTCTGAACATCATGGTAGTCCATCAGGTAACGGATACGCTTTACCTAAATACGTTCAATGAATTTCGAATGCTATATCGCTAGCTTTCTAAAATAGTGGCCTAACACAAAAACACCTCGCACCGCACTTCATCAGGAAAATAGTTTAAAAAGTCTGATGTCTTAAAAATTCACTGATTTAAAAAGTTTATTGCTTGCTTGTGGAAGTGCTGCAGTAGCTCAGCGGTTCAGCAGTTTTTAATTCACTAATTGTGACCGCAAAAGAGTGAGCATGTCACGACAGTGGCGCTGCAACTGCGCTTCTAAATTTTGTACGAAAATTAGATTGGCGCGGCTGCAGCGCCACAGTGGCGTCACTGCAGCGCTTCTATAATAATAAGCCTCTAATTTGAAGACCCCACATCCGGCGTATCGTACACCGGCCTATTGTTATCACGTGATTATTTTAATCAATGTAACGCTCAGAGTCTTATTCATAATAAAATTTAGAATGAATACAAGTAAATTGCGTAATATGTAAAAAAATTAACTATTTTGATTTGGGCAACTATTCTTTAAAAATAGGAATTTATAACTCTGTAAACTACCTCTTTCGGGTCTAACGTCAAGACTGCTAACAGATTGACTGCATGTCTGCAGTTAATGCGTGAAGTCGTAATCAACTTCTGCAGTCGAGATCTCGGATAACGACTTAATGCAGTCAAGATCGACTTTTTTTATTTTATATTATCATGTGCGCCAGTTTGTAAGCTACACGCCTGTCCATAACAGTTGCAGTGCCACTCAATAGCTTTAAATCGCAAAGATCTAAGAGGCACAGCCACTGTGCCCGTCACTGAGATATAAGTTGCCAAGTCCCACGTGCCTTTAATTTCACCAGCACACTTGCCCTTCAAAACTGGAACACAGTACTGCGAACATTATTGCTTGGCGGCAGAAATAGGTGGCAGTACTTCCCTGGACAAACTCTTTCACAAGGAGCTCTATTGTTACTAAATGCATGCTCGACTGCGTGTAGTTAATGCGTGAAATCTTTAACAACTTTATGCAGTCGTTATCTCGGCTGCATGAAGCCGATTACGACTTCATGTATTAAGTGTAAACATGCAGTGAATCTGTTAGCAGCCTAAAAGTAGAATTGGGAACATCTATTATACCGGTTTGTATGCTATATACAAAACAACTAGAAATAACGTGATTTTCAGAATAAACGTGATTCATAAAGTACTTAGTACCCATTTTTACTACAACATTTTAATATTCAATATTACTTGCTATCGGAAACCTAACCATGCTTATACACTATTGTATACTCTACACATAGACAAGACATATTTGGATTTAATATTTGCTTACTACCCTAAAATATTCTAGCGTGGTATGTGTGTCCTAAAAAGGATTGTGAAATTGGTACACATTTTATAAATGTTACGAGAATAGAGAAGAGCTATGCATATTATAACCATAGTATAATAAGTAGTGCAACTCCCGACTGTTCGGCACGTAGGATTGTCACATTGTTATTTTTAACCGACTTTAAAAAAGAGGAGGTACTCAATTCGAGTGTATTTTTTGTGTGTATGTTACTCCGACATTGTGAACTAATTTCGATGATTCTTTATTTTTGTTAGAAAGGTCCCATTCAAATTTGAAAAAAATATTCCACCTCCAATGGTGGAAAATTAGAAGATGAATCTGATTTATTGGATTTAACCCCACTTCCCGATTTTCCGATTTCCCGATCAGTTACCGATTTCGTTAAACGTGCTATGCCAGTACAAGGCGCGCGGCAGGCGTGCAGATACAAGCCGCACTTGTTACGTTTGTATGAAGCTACACTTCTCTTATTACACTATGCTATAGCTGACGATACGCTGTACGCTCTACTATGTCTTAGTCCTATTAAATAACAGTTCACTAAATTATTTAACACTGATCAACTTGCCTTAACGTCCTGATCAAGTGTGGAGACAAAACCACGGAAATTAATACAACGTATGAGCACCCATGCAGAGGAAAAGCGGCTGGTGCGGTGCTAGTTGGGGATCCAACCGGCGTGGCGTAGGTAATGCGCCAGCGCGAGGTCGAGGTCGCAGTCCGGTGCGGGCGCCCGGCGCAGTAGCACACCTTTCATTGTCACGAACTGCGCCGGCGCAAGACTGAGTGACGTGCATAACTGCCAAATAAATGCGTCAATCATCAATGTCATCAAAAACAACTAGCACAAATTGAATGAGTAGATGCAGAGGCACTACCTAAAACACTAGATGTATAACTCAATGATGAATAGCATCTAGTATGGACAGCGGTTAACCACTGTGCGTGTGGTGATCGTAATACGATGATCACTCGACTGATCGTATACTACATACTCGAATGATTATATACATCATACTTTAAAATTGACTTTCTATTAATTCAAGTTAAAGAGAAATAATTTTTTGAAATATTTTTTCGGCCCTGGTTTAAAGTCCTAATTTTCGAGATACGACAAGATCGCTTTCCGGCGTCGGTATGTTGATATCCCATCTTATCACAATAAAGAATATTACGCTAAATTTTATTTAACGTTTTCCAGTCTTTTCAATTTTCTAATTTATCGTCATTGACGGTAACCCTACCGACTCTCTGTGCAAAACTCGTCTCGGTTAGTGCAACAACAACGCCTATTTTTACCGCAACGCAGACTACTGTACTCAGGGTCAATGTAATAACAGGCATAGGAGATTTAAGAAGGCCTGTAGAGTTAGCACGTTAAGGCGCTCTCGCTCAAGGCACGCCCTGTCATAGCCCTACAGCAACGCTGTTTTGTTGGCAGTGGTTGTCACTTATAGTCCTTTTCACATAAGATGGGTGCTGTGAGTTCCAATTTTTACGTTCCACGCATACTATTTTTAACTAATCTTTCAAACAAGTTGCAAAAAAACATGTAAGTTTTTTACAACATGGCAAAAACATACTATATTTGTTGCAGTTGCAATTTTAAGTAAAATAACAGTAATATTAAGTAGATAGAAAACTAAATTAGTAAAATAAATTACCCCAACTAATTGATGTGTATAACGGAATATTTATCCGTAGAGATTAACACAATAGAATCGATAAATCGAATCGGTTATTGTGTATCTCGCGTCAATACGGGTAGTTTTCTTTTGTTTTTACCTTTGCATGATGTTTTTGGAGTATTCGTGGAAATGTGGTTTCGTTGTTGTTGATTTTATGCTTTGGTGTAGACTTTTTGTTTGGTTGTTGTTGATTTTTAATTTATTATGTATTTTTAGTAAGTTAATAGTAATTGAGTACATTTTATTTTGTTTACTATTTGTACTTAAATTATTGTCTCTAAATCAATTCTCTCTTCGTTACAAATTATCTCGATAAGATATTTAAATAGATTTTTTTCTCATTCGATTTTACGTCACTACATTGCATTCTTAAAAAAAAATCTCTCCTGTAATATTTTCCCATGGTTATTATACTCGATGTATTTTCCAAATGAACGTTACACGTTCTACTTTTCCAATGTCGATGTCCCGATTTTTGATACATCTGGGTGCTCTAACACTACTTAGTAGACAGGATTCATATGTAGTGAAAAATTATGCTAAAAAAACAAACGAAATTTGTCTTGGACAAAAAAAAACCTGTATCTCGTTAGTGTTGAGCAGATGCTTCGAGCATCCGCTGGCGCTGCTGCATGAGCTCCTTCTGCAGCATCCACATCCGGTACTTCCGTCCCGTATGCACCTTGGGCTGGTGGAACTTGAGGCGCTTTCTCCGTCTCTGTATAAACCATATAGAATATAAATTAGTGAAAAGCACCGAATAGCGCTTGATTTTTGTGTGTGTAGTGGATATATAGACGCAAAGATTTGGTGCTCATATGGCAGATCTTTGAAGAAAAGAAAATAAGATTAAAACACTGAAAATAATTTATTATGTGAAAAATATTGACTGATAAGTATTGGGACAAACGTATGCAGTCTTTTTTTTACCCCTCGCGCGTCCACGTACAATTGTCAGAGATTTTTTCAATAAACATTTTGATACCGTAGCGTTCTAAAAATACGCGGTGTCTGTGTAACGCGCAGCTTTCATCCATTTTTTTTTACCAAAATTGTTACGAACACGCGTACGAACGAACGAACGAACTAGTCAAAATAGTGTTTGAGTTAACAGTTACTTTTATTTACTAATGGAATTGCAAACAATATACAAATCTTGGTAATACTTTACTATTTAAACTAGAGAGAATGTGTACACGGGTGTTTTACTCCTGTACTGTCCTGTTGGTACAGTAAAGCCTATCTAAATCCTATATGGTACAGACGGCAACACATTAAACATATAGATGGATCTTATTCCATTGCACTGGAGGCGGTATTCGAACAAAAGTGTATAGCGAATGTGCTGTTGGCTGTACAATAATATTTTTTTATTTAATACTGATTGGTTACGGTGAATTACCTTTTTCTTAGCTGCTGCGAGCTGGTCTGCATTGCCTCTTTTGTCTGGTTGGTGTCCAGGCACCCACTGCTGCCCTGGCGAATACAATCGTTATACGGGATCAAACCCAAAACTACACGACACAGTTGTCTCAATATCCCACAACAGTGTTTCCTAAATGGCGACCGATTTTTAAACGACTTCAAAAAAACGAGGAGGTTCTCAATTCGATTGTGTTTTTTTTTGTATGTATGTTACACGATAACTCCGGTATTTTTGAACCGGTTTTGATGATGATTTTATTTTGTTGGAAAGAGGATACCTCAGAAGTGGTCCCATTTAAATTTGAAGAAAATATTCCACCTCTAAAGGTGGCAAACTATGAATGAATGACTTTTGAGGTCGGGTTTCTTTTAGTACTCTGTACTGAGATTATTAAATTGGTGTTTTTATAACACGGCCACTTGATAAAATAAACCCTGAATTGCTTGTAGTTGTATGTTCTCGCAGTTCAATAGGATTGCAGTTTGAGCATATCTGCCATAAAGGGGCTCTGTCACACAAGAGAAAACTTCAAACATGACTAGGAACAAATATTTGTATTACAAATATTGTAAACAAATAATGTAAATATCAAATTTTTAGGTTTTCGCGATTGCTACACAACGGAAATGAATCTATTTTTCGGATCTATAATTACGTATACTTATTTTTTCAAACAAACTAACGTTTCGGGTCCTTTACTGGTCCTATGTTCACGGCTGACTGCCGTGAATTTTGTGGCTTTCCAGAATAGTGACCTATCTCAAAATCACCTAAATCTTCAAGATGGTTTAAAACAACAGCAGAATATGTAAACTGCTAAGCAGACAATTGAATACAGGGTCATGTCCTCACGTGATTATTTTGAACAAAAAAAGCACGGTATCTTATTCACAACAAAATTTACCTCGTTTTGAATGCATAAGACAAATCATTGACTATTTTGGTTTAGGCCACTATTTTTGAAAAGCAGCGACATACAAATATCGTTCTGTCAAACCCAAACACCACCTGTTAATACCAGTTTTTCTCAGCATTTATTCTGCTCCCTCGCACCATATTTGTACAAGAAATTATATACAAAACTTTCCTTTTACGCGCTTCCAAAGTCAGTCTGTAAAAAGACTATCACCGATTGGATTAAGACCGTAAATTAACTAAACTAATTAATTTAAAGTCCATTTATTCATTTCATAAGTTTACAAATTACATATAAAATCGTCTTTAAAACCTAAAGATAAGCATTAAGCTTTAGGGATTATGTTAAAAGAAAATCTCAACAAATGCACTATGAATAAGATGTACCTGTTATAATCTTAAGGCTTTAGTACATAAAATAGGGTTAGAATTAGTTTAATTTAATCAGATTTTTGTCAATTGCTGTGCCCTTACGGGGTCCATAATGAACTTAATTTAAATTAAATAAAATAATTTAAATTAAAAAAAAAAATCGGATTATTGATGTCAATTGTGCCATTTGAACTTGCAGTATATTCAACAAATATTGATATATATCTCAATAATTTCTTAAACAAAAAAAATGGTACATTGGTCTTTTTTCCTGGTATGTAACTCTATTGATAATGATAAAAATGTTAGTTGTGCTCTTTTTCGTTCCGAGGGCTGTATTTCTTTACATGTCATTTTTGGTATACTATGAGTCCTTCGTAAAATATCGACTACCGACCAACACTTTTCTTACTAATTCAGCAAAGTTGGTTCCGCATAAATATTATCAAGTTTATAGTACTAGTGCACAAAAGTGTTTAAACAAGTTGTTTACACTACAGATGGTACGTGCGTTATCGAGACGGCTCACGCTTTTGTCCTATTGTACCCCAAAAGATAAAGTTATAAGACGAATCGATGCAAAGAATATTTCGTCAACTACACCTATACACTTTTTTTTATTAAAACCAACGTTTCGGCAGAGAACAAATAAGTAACGAGAACGGACACTCTCCGCCCCTCCTTAGCTTTAGATACCGCACCACGCCCCGCACATTGACGATCACATTGACTGAACGAGAACAAGGCGTTCGGCGAGCCGTTTTCGCGCTAAGACGGCTTTGATATTTGAATATAGTGTTCATTTATTCATTACGAAATTTGTACGATAATAAATAACATCATTTTACGTTACTATTTATAATGATCGTGAATTGTGCTGTTTATGGCTGTTTAGAATAATCTAAACGGGATAAAGAGAGGAGTTCCTTTCGTATTTTGAAAGATGAAACGAAGTAAGTAAAAAAACTTATGTCTGAGACTCATTCAATTATTGTTTTCTTTAGTGCAGAGAAATATATAATACAGATTTATTATATCAATATTATAAGACGCCATAACTTCGTGAGCTAGACAAGGGTTCGCGAATTTTCAATTTGTATTGCCGATAAATATTATGTAATGAATGAATATACCTATAGTCAATTTGTTTAGGTACTTGACTAAATGTTAACAATCTTGAGATGTCTATTTAATGAAATATACATTTATAAAATGATTTTTACTTTCTTTCAAATACAAAATACAAATACTTAGGTTCATATGAAATTGCATGCCTATTTTTATATCTATTGATTTGTAAAGTAAATGTTTCAATAAAAAGATGTATCACGATTGTTTACATTTAGTTAAGTACCTAAACAAATGGACTATAATTATTAACTAGGTAATTATAAACTTGGACATGCAATTTCAAATATTTTGGTTACTTTATTTACAGTTACCTGTCCAAAATATTATATATTTTTTAAATAAATCTTTAATATTATTCTAGTCAGTGAATTGATGAAAAATATTATATTATATGTATATAAATACGTAATAAACATATGTAATTATTGGGATTCTATAATAGAATTATAGATAACAGATTCGCGTTAGAATTTTCGCTACGTTGCCGCTCTGACCACCTAACGTAATAGTACGAGCAAGCGGTGGGTAACCCTGCCACTTCACGCACACATTTGCTCGTGTGCAGATCGCTATCTGTAGTAATATATACGCGCCTGTCTGTCTGTAGTAATAGAAGGTAAACATTTTCGATCGTTGTATGGTGTGTCCGGGGTGTGGATTCGGGACTCTTTAGATATGTCAATCCATCAGACAGTCAGCCGTGATCATGGGATTTGTAAAAAGCCCGAAACGTTGAATTGTTTGTAAAAGAAAAATACGCGATTTAGATCTGCAAAAGTTATGTCATTTCTTAAATGATATAAAATCATTGACAATATCAAAGTCTCTTTTTATGTAACAAAACCTTACTCGAATTTTTCAAGATTAGTAATTACACTGATGTGCTAAAAAATCTACTCTCACTGAATAAAAAAGGGATATCGCGCGAAGCGAAAAGCATGAAATGTAAATGAACTTTCTACGAGCCATGCATTGAATGAATGTGAAAATATCAAGTGATGATTTAAACTCTTTTTGAAATATGTGTAAAGAGTTTCGGTACGTCTTCTATAAGTTTAAAAAAACTATATGCGCTATGTCGGCATTAGAAAATTAATAACCGATCAGTGTCTCTACCAAGCGCGTAAAACGACTCAGACAATACTATTCTTATGATCAAGTAAAACTCAGTGTACATTATAAAGAAAATATCGCATGTAAACTGAGCCTTACAAAATTGTGAAATATTTTACACGGTCAACTCAGGGTAGACGCACAGTTTGTTTTGGGCTGTAAAAGTTAAATGTATTAATTCTTCTTCTTATTAATTCTTTGACAACACGACTATAGAATTACTGATGTCAAACGTCAATTCAAGCACGAGTAAAAACACCTAGTCAGCAAATTTGAAACATAAACAACATCGAAAACAAAAAACCTTGAAGCAAAATGAAAAAAAAAAAAACATGAATTATGTGTAACTGCATACAACATCAGCATTTTCAATTTTAGTTTTTTTTTACATTAACACGTCTTTATTATTTATTACATTTTAAAATATTTTCACAATTAATGTACATTTCTATATCAAAAATCGCTTGCGTATTGTCGCTTCCAGCAAGTAAATTGAGAGTACATACATTTTTGGTTTATAACATATCTCTTTTACATTCAACCAGTGGCACAAGTAATTTAGTACTACATTAAGGTAGCAAGTTTTGGTTCCCGGTTGAATCAAATTAATAAATCAAATTCTGAATTAATAATAGTAATTAATTTTATAATATCAAGTGACGGGGAGAGCAAGTCATGCGATTGGTGGCAAGCTCCTAAATCGCAACGATCTGAGGTGCATTGCCACTGTACCCGCCACCCTGAGACAAAAAGTTGACAAGTGCCATGTGCCTGTACTTTCACCAGCACCCTTATCTTGCAAAACCGGAACTTAATAATGCTCCCATTACTGTTTACCGGCAGACATACACACATCAAAAAAAGTTTGCGATCACTTCGAAAAACTGAAATCTTTTTTGTTACTGTAGATCATATTATGATTTTTTCTTCTTTTTAGATTCTTTATTTAAAAATAAATTAGAACATAAAACAATGACCCCGTTCAATTGTTTTTTCATATAAAAAGGCTTTCAGTCCTAGCTTACGCTCATTCAGAAATCTGATTTAGTCAATTATAAGCGATTCAAGATATTTTTCGCGGAAAGTTGTGATTGAAAAAATGCCAAGAGGATTATCAGAGGTTTTACGAGCTAGAATAGTAACTTTGAGGGAAGAAGGATACACCACGAGAGTAATAGCACGCAGACTTGCTATATCCCAATCCTGTGTCGTGGCTACGTTGCAGAGGTATCACGGAATGGGGAATTTAGCTGACCGACCCCGCAGCGGTCGCCCAACTGTTTTGACAGCTTCCCAAAAGCGCTATATTAGATTGCTGGCAGCCCGTGATCCAACAATCAACGCCACTAAAATAAAAGCAGAAGTCAGGGCCGCCTCTGGGCTTGAAGTTAGCACGCAGACCGTTCGCAATTGCTTGCACCAGGCTGGATTACGAGCACGGAGGTCTTGGCGAGCTCCGCTCAATTCCCGGCAACGTCAACAACGAAGATTGCAGTGGGCTAGACTTCGGCAAAATGAAGAAGGTGAGGACGAAAACATTTGGCAAAACTGTCTCTTCGTTGACGAATCCCGAATCAGCACTCATCCAGATAACCGAC